TGTACATCCTGTGCTTTGAGAGCTGTTTCAATATCACTGATGGTGGAGGAGAGTGTGTTGATCTGCTCTTCAATGTTTTCCAGCTTCATACACATGATTTGAGTCTTAGTTTCCTCCTCCTGTTTCAGTGCCTGCAATCTGGTGTTTTCCTCCTCCTTAAGGAACTGGTGGAGCTTCTTAAACTCTGCCTTGATTCCTGTCTCCGTTTCACATGCCTGCGTCTGTAATTTTAAAGAATGTGGGTTTTTTTTAAGCTAGTAAATGGAAGGAATGTTTGTCATGCTGGGGATTTTTTCGTCAGAAGCAACATTAAAAAGCCCCAGTAAGAGTCAGCATTGTTTCACGAAACACAAAACCCTTTACCTGGATATGGGTTTTTATTTCCTCCCATTGTTCCTTTGTGTTGATTAGTACTTTGAGTTTTTTCTTTAAGGACTCGAGGCTGGCTGAGATTTCTGTCTGAAATGTACGAAGAAGAATTTTTAAATATAGCATTTCTGTGTAGTTCCTGATAATCAGTTTTCTTTGTGGTTTTGTTTAATGTTTCACATCGAATTAAAATGTGTTGAAGTTGCTACTTTGAGGTCATTATCATGTGGTGCACTCATTTCACTATTTTCAATTGACATTTTACGGCGCATAAGGAATTAATGAGCAATTTCGTGGTATACAATATGGCAGTCTTACGTGATATGGTAAGTCATTTATATTAAAAGATCTGTTTCTTACAATTGTGATGTAAGTCTACCAACAATCTTGACACTCCCACGTTATGTAGTTTTTTTTAAAGATGTGATTTATTTTTGTAGCACACAAACCTGTTTTCTGTTCAGAGGCTGACTTCTTCTACTTGGGTCCAGCCAGAGCCATGGAACTGTTGTTGTCTCTTGGTGTCGATTGTGGTGGGCAGAGCCAGAACAGACATAGCTCTTCATGGCATTGGGTGACAAATAACTATTCCGCTTCTGGCTTGTGGAGAAAACATGTTTGTCTTGATTAGTTGTGGACATAACTGAGAGTCTCTTTGCTGTTTCCAGTTAGTTTAATAGATCACCACTCTGCAAACAGTGGTGCACTTCCCTGGCTGAAGGCTCAGGTGTTTCTGTCAAGTGATGTTCTTTGATTCAGGTATTGTGACAGTAGGCGGTACAACTGGGAATATTTACAGCTTCCTGTAGAAGTTGGCCAACTAGTATAACTGGGTAATCATGCAAGTCATCCAGACATAACCAAAGATGATATAGATGCAGAAGTTGACTAATGTCCTCAATACATGCTTAAAAATGAAAAAAAAAAAAGTTCTCAGAAACTTTACGTTCATTTCCTTTATTTTAATAATGTGCCTGTTCTGTTTATGAGTTTAAAATCATGAATGAGAAATGGCTGAATTAATCTTACTTGATGTATCAGCTACTGATAACCATTGCAGCTCCTGTTCCGATTATTTATCTTGTTCCCCATTTCATCTACTGACTGCAAAAATATAGAGCCTGCACCATGAACATGGCTGCTTTATAATAACATAATAAACAATTTTAACAAGTTTATATAAAAATGTATTTCTAAATATTGAGCATACAGGCAGCCTTGTGACAACACTCTGACTCCCAGACAAACATGGCCCAAATACCCCAAGTTTAACACTTTGGTGTCTGATAAATACGCAAATATACCTAAAAACAAAAAAACAAATACACTCATCCATCCATCCATCTTCTTCCACTTATCCGGGGCCGGGTTGCGGGGGAAGCAGCCCAAGCAGAGAAGGCCAGACCTCCCTCTCTCCAGCCACCTCCTCCAGCTTATCTGGGGGAACACCAAGGCGTTCCCT